CCCCCCTCTTTCTTTCTCTCTCTCTCCCCTCCCTCCCGCCCCTTTCCCCAATCAGATGTCATTCGTTCTCTCTTGCAATCGCATCTTCTCCTGCCAAGCCTATAAGCCATATTCTTAATTCATGATTTCCTCTTTGGTTTCTGCTGATATTCATATAATTATTATTGAGAGATGATGTATTGTATACACGTAAAACATACTTGGCGCACACACTGCTCTCTTTCAGATCACTTATACACATGCATAGTCGTACAACATATTATGTAATATATCCGACAGACCAGCTGCCTTTTTGCATTGACAGAGACATGTACATGAGATCATAAGTTGTAAAGATGGCATTTGGAAAATGAAAGACGACACCAAATTAATTAGTTAGGCTGTGGAAAAAAATTCCACGCTGTCGTTGATTCGACTGACTCTTTCTTGTCATCTCTTGGTTTGTCATCGGAGTTCTTTCCGGGTCCTTTTCCATTTGAGCCAGTGCCGTAAATCTTGCCGTGAACGTATGAAGGATAGATGTTGGTATGATTTTCCACTTTCACGATGGTGGAAGCTCCAGAATTTGATGAGGACGACGAAGAGTCTACTTTCTGTTGCTTGCAGATACTGCCCAAAAGGTTCAGCTTCTGTTCCTTGAGAGTGTCATAGCTGTCGACGTGGAATACATTCACGCTGTGATGGAATGAGGCCAGACTTTTCAGCACGCTGTTATCGAGCTTCCCAACAGCCACCACAATAACCTTGACATTCTTGAACTTCATCTTGCGGACTTCCTCTTGCAGTAGGTCAAGGTTTTTGGTGTTCTCGTCCACAAACATCACAGCGATTCTGTTGTCCGTCAGAGGGACCCGACTGAAGACCTCCACTCGCAGTCTCCGGATGATGCCTGGGTAACCAATGTAGTAGTTGGATCGGATCTGAGCCAAGGCCCGCTGGAAGCGACTGACAGCCACAAGGGAGTCAGTTCCGCTGACACAGGGTTGGGTGACGACGCCTATCTTGACGTGAGGAGCCTGCATCTGGACATCACGTACGAACTCGGTGATCACGTCCTGCACGATTGTCCTCGAGGCGGAGATGGAGTTCATGTAACTGTAGGTGAACACCACGTTTGTTGGCTGGCTGGAGCATTCTGGAGAGGATTGGAGAAACAGATGCCATAAGAACATTGTAAATAGATTTCTTTAAAAAGTTGTTCATTTTCTTTCTTCATCAATCACTTGCTTAAATTTCAGTATCACCTCTCCCATTCCACAAGATAAAATCTAATATCACTAACAACAAAGAACAAAGTAAGAAGAAACACAGACTTTTCCTAGGGGATGTATTTAAATCAAAACAAATCTTTAAAGTGCACGAGAAAAGTTTAGATTGAAATCACTGCTGTATCATTCGTTTTTCAGTAGGGATGATTTTTATTTAAAGAATACCTACCGGCTTGATCATTAGGTTTCGGCTCGTTGTCATCTTTGTCGCCCTTGGCAACGGCCTTGCAGGTCTTTTGAGCCAACAGGTTAGTGATGGAGCCCAAGGCGTTGAAGTCGTCCACACTGAAAACAAAGTCTTCATCCGGGTTGCTGGAGATGTCCATGAGCTCCTGGTCGTCAGTGAAGTTCCCGATACCCACTGCGAACATGTAGATACCCTCTTTCCTCGCCTCGGCCGCAGCTTTGGCGGTTCTCCTTGGACTCTGGGAGAGGCCGTCAGTGACTGTGATGATGATCTGCGCCACGCCCTTCCTCGCTTCGCCCGAGCGGAACGCCGTTTTGGTGACGTAGGAGATGGCGTCCCCTGTGTTGGTGCCACCCGTGAGGTACTCCACAGTGTCTGGCTGGATGGCTTTCTTGAGGGAGTCGAGGTCGGCGTGAGAGGAGAGTCCGAACACATGGTCAACCTAGGAGAGAGAGGTAGGAGGAGTTATGGAATGGTTTCCCCAAGTTCTTTTGAACGCTTCAGGGTACGTTTAATTTCTTTGTTATTTCAGCCCGAAGGAAAAAAAAACCTAAAGCTTTGAAAAAATATTCTTAAAGAAAATGATGTTTGAATAACAGTTGCAAGACTGAAAAAGTCTTATTATTCCAGAGAGAAAAAACACCGGATGGCTGGAAGGTGCCCCTTTCAGGTGCTGTCTTATTCCCATAAGTTAAGGGCTTCTCTTTTAAAGCAAAAGACAAAAAAGCTAAAAGGAATATGATTTTACGCTCAGCTGTCTGCGAATATTTAGGTGGCTGAGTACAACCCCCCCCCTTCCCCGAAAAGTTGTGCGGTTGGGAGGACAATGCGTCTATTGGTGCCTTGTCACATTTGGAGACGCTAATAAATTATAATAGAAAACTTAGAACGGCGACATTCTTTTGTCAGGGCAATTGGAGAAAGAACCAAAGAAATACATCCTACAGGAAAACATCCAATATTCCCCAAGTGTATCAGACAATTCACGTAGAACGTTGTTGGAGAAGGTAACGGAATAAACGAGAACGAGAAAAAATATATTCAAGGAATTCTTACCTCGTTCGAAAATGTGACGAGTCCGACTCTTGTATGTAGAGGGGATATCTTGAAGGACGAGACGAGATCGCGAACAAAAGGCAACACCCGATCCTGGAAGTGCACGACGTACACAGAGCTGGATGCGTCCAACAGGAAGTAAATATCTGCTGGCTTTCCCTTGCAGCCTGAAAAGATGCAAAATGAAAGTTGTTTGGTACGTGTATCTACATGTATGTCTTTGAGACGTTGATACTGGTACAGTTACACATTGATAATAATTTTTTCTTTTGTTCTATCTTATCCGCCTTCCTTGTTCATAATACTGCCTCTCTCACCCCCCCC